TGATGTTTCTAACTCTATCCCTCTACCTTCCTCTCTATAAAACAAATCAATATATATATTTTATATATATATAAAATAAATATATATTATATATCTATATATTATATATATAAATTAATTATATGTTAGATAGATAGATAGATAGGTAGATAACGCCAGGTCCAGCCAGTCCTCAGACAGTCACCAGGCTCAGGAACAACCGCCCCTGTGTCCTGCCCCGGGGACACGGCCGAGTCAGATGGGCTGAGGCCCCCGGCCCTGCGCCAGGGACGGCTCAGTGGAGGAAGTCGGGCTGTCCTGAGTGGCCCCATGTCCGTGTGGTCTGGGCTCCCAGCCCCTCCGTCCCCTCCAACCATCGCAGCCCCACCTTCACTTATTCACACACCGGGGTTCTGCTGAGAATGGCACGGGAAAAGCGGCCCTACCACCCTACCTTTAAACCCGGGAGATTCTCCGTCCCGGGCTCTCAGCATGATTTACAGCTTGTTGAGAAGGTCTGTTTCTGGTAAACAACAACAACAACAACAACAAACAAACCTAAGGAGTGGAGTGGGGGCAATGGTAAGATATGTACACATATACATAAATGAATAAATAAATAAATAAATATTTGAATATTTGACCATAAAACAACAACAAAAACTTCCCCCAAGGGAGGCAGCAGAAAGCAATCCCATGTGCATGGTGGGGCAGATCTCCTATGTCAGTGAGCGACGCTCCTCCGTCCCTGCCAAGCCGGGGCCCTGCTCCCAGCCACATGCTCTCCTTCCGCACACGACGCATCCATCACCAGTCTCCGCTGGTCTCCAGCCTCCCAGGACCGACTCCCAGGCAGGCCCAGCCCTTCCCTCCTGAGCTCCCCGGAAAGTAAACCGCGTGCAGCAGATCTTATCCCTCCCAGAATCAAGCTGGTCCGCCTCGGGGGTGGATCACACCCGTCTCCTGGTCCAAGACAGGGTGCAAATGAGACCGGCAAAACCAAGGGGCAGCGGCAGGGAGGAGGCAGCCGTCCTCAGTCCTGCCGCCTGCTGGCTCCCTGGAAGAACCTGAAGCCGGACCCCAGGGGTGCAAGCCGGGTGGGGCCATCTGGCCTCTGCACCTGTTCCTTTACCTTTTGTAAAGAATGGGCAACTGGAGGACCCACCGACAGGACTGAGTCCCTGCGTGAGCGCCTCGGAAGCCCCGCGCACAGCGCCTGGTACGGTCTGTGCTATCACCACCTGCCCTGTCCCGGGCTGCCCAGGCTCGGCCTGTGGCCACCGTGTCAGTCAGCTGAGGGAGAAACCAGCTCCTGCGGCAACTTTCCCTTTTTGGATAATAAAGTAAAGGGCGTATTCAGGGCATATCAGCCTTATGTATAGGGACATGGCTCCCTCAACAAACCCGAGGGCCAAGAGCCAGACTGTGCAAGTGCACAGGTAATACATGTGTCAGAAATCCCTCCGGGGCGAGGAAATGGTGCAAAGGCAATTCCTATGAGGCCCTCACTTCTTACCACTTATCTTCCCAAACCATGAAAAGAAAAGCTTTATTTTCACAGCTTTTGACTAGAACACAGGAACCCAAAAGCACATAAAAACCATTCATTAATAATAAAAAAAAATGTTCAAAACAGCCAATTTCAACAGCTTTAAAGCAGAATGTGCCCTAATTTCTAAAAGATAGATTAAAACATTAAAAAAAATATTCACAATACACTTTAGGCCATTAAAATTAATTTGTCAAAATTTTATCTTCAACATAAAATATATGTTTAAAATTAAAAAATATATACATTTAGAGAAACAAAAAGGAAATACACAGAAACGTTAATAGTATTGAATCTCTTTAAGACCTTAATTTTATAGTTCCCCAATTTTCTATAATAAGCATAGATTCCTATTAAAATGTATGTAATATAAAATTATATGTTAGATGTAGCTTTTCTGAGGCAAATGGTTTTGATTTAGATAATGGGGAGCGTTCACGTTTTTATTTAAAACGTGGAGAGAAGACTGGCAACTAATTCACGGAGAGCATTAGCCAGGATCCCTAGACCGAGCCACGGGTTCTGAGATCTCAGGTTCTGGAGACAGGACGTGTGCCTCCGGCCGCATGCCTTCCAGGGAGGCAGGCAGCACAGGGGAGTGGGGTCCTCACTCCCCCGAAGTCTCTGTCCCAAGAACATGCATCCACCCCTCCTGCCAGCCATGCCACCAGGACCGCCCCATCGCATTTCTCCCCTCTACACCCCACAAAGGTCACACCACACTCAAAAACCTCTACAGATCAGGAGGTCAAAAAGCAGAGAAATGGCCGTAACTAAGATAGTTTTCTCCGGTCACTATGGTATGAGCAGTTGTTTCAAAGCGTGTGTCACCCTGGCCTTCCACAACCCAAACTTTCCGAGTTGGCATCCAGCATGTCGGGTAAGGAATTGCAGGTACAATGACAATCTCAGAGTCATGGCCACAGACGCTGATAAAACTGCCTCTACGTATAGTTCAAGTCCAGCTACTGCTTCGGAGCTTGTATTTCTTTAAAAGCCCTCAGAAGCCCCTCAAGTACTAGAATGTGGAAACTCAACTACCAGCAGCTTCGGATCAGCTCTGTCCGCTGAGACCTGGTCTCCAAGCATGTGTGTCAAAGTGACCCCATGTGTTTGTCTGACCGCCAGTGGGACTACAGTGTTTAGTAAAAACTCTGGCACCTTCAACCTACCACCTGACCAACCACACCTGTCAGGGAGTAAGGCCTGAATGGCCTTAGCATACCAACCGCTTTGAGTTGCCTTAAAAACAACACAGTTCTCTAGTTCATGGCATCATCCGAGGGAGACCATTCCTAAAACACTGTAAATGTGTTCTAACTCAACAGGATTGGCTCAGAAGAGACAGTAAATGCAAAAGAATAATGGAAGAAATATCCCTTTCTCTTAAGGTTATAGGGTATCAGCATCTATTATAGAAATGACTCCTATCCCTATAGTCTTGCTCTTTACAGAAAAGTGAAACCGTGAAGGGAGAGAGATGATGGGGAAATTCCCGGCTGTAATGACAAAACCATGTGATCTTTCCCCAAAGCCCTCCTCAAACACACAGACGTCGTCCACGAGACAGCAACATCCAAAAGGAAGACGTGGCAAGACCTGGGCCTTCACCATGACACTGTGGCCAGCTGGTTCCCTTGCAGTTATTCCAGGCTTCACCCAAAAGCGGACACAGCCATGGAAACTCTGCCTGTGCGGTATAACCAGACACCTGTCCCCCTGCGTATTTCACGACTATCCGTCAATTAAACGCCAAAATCTAAAAAGCCAAGGGCTTTCTCTCTAGTCGGGCTGCCTGTAATAATAATAATAAAAACAGGCATTAATAGAGACAGGAAGGAAATATACCAAAATACTTCTAACTCTGGGGGAAGGGTGATTTTCTTTTCTTTCTTTCTTTCTTTTCTTTAAGTCTTTTCTGTTTACAGTAAGTGCAGAAAATAGAGGTCTATAGTATATGGCCTATAATATATCTATATTATTTTAAGGGAATGAGGTGAGGTGTGCTGCTTTTAAGGATTATTTTTTTTCTAATCCAGAATTTCAGCTCCTGAAGGATGTCGGTCTAATGCACATTCGTCTTTTCACAAACGAGGAGCCGAGATTCAGGCTGGGAAGGGCCTCTCCCAGTTGAGTCAGGACCAGACAGCCACACTGAAGGGAAGGAGGGGAAGCGGGGTTCCTTTAAAAAGCTCCTCCCTGTCATCTCCCCACCTTCTCAAGCACACCCAAAGCAGACTGTCAACTCCAACCTAAGTTTTCAGCCACCCTAACCGGCCACCTCCACCTCCACCTGCAGAACCAACCAGAAGGCTGGCTGTGTGTTTAGGAATAAGTGTTTGTTTACACTGGGGAAAACAGAGGTGAGATCTGTGTCAGACACTGTGGGGTTTAACCAGCTTCTCTCATGCCGGGCAAAGGTCCCTAAATAAAAGGAAGGGTACTGACTCAGGGGGGACATTTGGGACAGCTCTGCCCCAAAAGAACCTTCCGTCTTATCTTCAGGAGACAAAGGGCACTTGGACAATAGCCTTCATTAAGCGCCGTCACCTTGAACGTGAGTGGGTGGGAAGGGGCTTGCCATGCATGACACCCGGTCACCCCAGCGCCTGTCTGGCTGGAGGTGCTAGCTCCGTTCACTCAAGTCCTCCCATCAGCACCCTCCGTCCGCGATGCCATGGAGTAGACATCATCTCTGCTTGGTAGTTAATTTGAAAAAAAGGAAGAAAAAAAAAAAAAAGCCAGACTCCTTAAATCAATGAGGGCTTCCCGCATCCTCGGAGACGCCGCGCGGTGCTGCACATGGCAGCCGGCTTGGATGCTGCGTGTGACCCTCCCAGGCGCTCCCCGGGGCCGGCAGCCGCGGCCGGAGAGGCGGGCAGCCCGCCCGGCTCCGGCTGCGGTGCTCCCCGCGGGCCCGAGCGCAACCCCGGCTGCAGGAGGGAGGGATGGCGTGGCCCAGGGGCCGCCGGCACCTGCCTCCCGGGATCCGCTCCCCGCGCCTCCGGGATCCGCTCCCCGCGCCTCCGGGATCCGCTCCCCGCGCCTCCGGGATCCGCTCCCCGCGCCTGAAGCCCGGGCTCGCCCAGGCCGGGCCGGTCCCCGCCGCCGCCGCACAGACCCGGGGCCGGACCGCGGCGCGCGTCACCGGACCCCGCGGGGCACCAGCGCCTCGCCCGGCGGGCATCCCCGCCTCAGGCTCCGGAGGCGGCGGCGGCCCCCACGGCCCCAGGCCTCCCCCGCGCGCCGCGGGCAGGGCAGCCGCCGGGCAGAGGCCGGGAAAGCGGAACGTCCCGACGAGACGAGCCGAGCCGAGCGGCTGGCTCCCGCGTCTCCGCGGCGGCCGCCGCCACTCGGGCTCGGGCGGCGGGGCGGGTCTGCGGCTGAGCCCGCACCTCCCGGAGCGAGCCCACGGCGGGCGCCGCGGCCGGAGCGCACGCAGCTGCCGGCGGCGCGCGGCGGGAGCACTCACCTCCTCGCTGGCCCGGCGCTGCGCCGCCGGCTGTCACCGCAGACCACGGGCTGCCCCGCGCCTGCTCCGGATGCTATTTAAAGGCGCCGCCGTCACCTCTGCGCGCTGGCTGCGCACCGGCCTCTGCTGCCGCGGGGGCGGGCTGCTGGGGCTGCGCGAGCCGCGCCCGCCCGCCCCGGCCCCGCCCCGGCCCCGCCCCCAGACCCGGGCCCCGCCCCGCTCCCGCCCAGGCCCCGCCCCCCGCATGCCCGCTTTCCCACGCAGGCGCGCGCGTGTCGCGCAGGCAGCCAGCGTGCGGCCGGCGGGAGGGTGCGGGGTATGGGCGGGAGGGTGCGGGGAATGGGCGGGCGGGTGCGCTGGAGTCCCCTGAACTTGCCCGGTTACGTAAGGAACCCGAGGAAGGGCAAAGGGGAAAAGGAGAATGGTGTAGCCCGGCCAGCTCTGGGGTCTGCGCGGGGGGGAGAGGGGGGCCCGAGAGCTCTTGCGCATCTTTCACCCACCGGGGCGTGCCCTCCTGACTTCTGCACATGGGGCCCTGGCGGGGGCCCCCGAAGCTTTCCTTATTTTCTTTGGCACCCACGTGCACGACCCCTTTTAACCCGATTTCACCACATCCCCCAGCAGGGTTTTGACACAGCCGCTGGCCAGGAGGACTGGTCTGGGCTTCTGCAACGCCCTGGACATGAAGCAACCCTGGGCGACGTATCAGCGGGGGTATAGTTAGAGCTGACGACGTTGCTCAAGAGCAGTCTTCACCCTCCAAGTTCCTGGGGTCCCTCCACCCTCCTCTCCTCTTCCTGGCTGTGAGGTTTGCACGGGTTCTATGTCCATGCGATACCTACTTGGGGGTTGTCAGAGGCCAATGCAATGTGTTTTCAGGCTGGGACCCCAAATGTTATTGTTGCTCTTGGCGCCTGAGGCCTGCTAGTAGCCTTACTCTCTCATCACGGGGGTCCCAGGCCCAGCGATGCTTGTGGCCAGCATCGGGCAGAGGGCTGTTATCTAGTGCACTTTGAATCTGAGTCTTGAGAGGAATTCTTGTTATAATAAAGGCCTCTGGTAATGGCAGATTCCATTTATTGAAACCCTTCACTCACATTATCTCACTGAATCTTCATAATCTTATGAAGTAGGTGCTGTCATCATTCTCCTTTTACAGATGAGAAAACTGAGGCACAGAAAGATTGAATGCTAGTGAGGGAAAAGCTACACCTGGAACTCAGGCAACCTGCCTCTGGAGCGTGCACATAGAAAATAACCCCAAAAATATATTTGTGTTTCAAAATAAAAGCAATAGTAAACTGTAAAATAAGTATAATAAAAGTTTTTTTTCTTATGATGATAGCATATTGCCTTGGTATAAGTGGTTCAGAAGGTTCAGTCAACCATGGATTAAAAATATTCTGGGGGGCCAAAACCGGTGTGGTTCAGTGGATAGAGCATCAGCCTGCGGACTGAAAGGTCCAGGTTTGGTTCTGGTCGGGGGCATGTGTTTGGTTGTGGGCAGATCCCCAGTGGGGGGTGTAGAGGCAGCTGATCGATGTTTCTCTCTCATCGATGTTTCTAGCTCTCTATCCCTCTCTCTCTAAAAAAACAAAAACAAAACAATAAAATATATTTTAAAAAATATTCTGGGAGAATAAAATCATGTTGCTGAGGCGTACTGTGTGGTTAGGCCTAAAATGGGTGCATCTGTACAGACTTTTTTCTTGTCATTATTCCCCAAATAATACAGCATAATAACTATTTCCATAGCTTTCCATTGCATTTGGTATTATCAGTCATCTAGAGGTGATTTAAAGTAGATGAGAGGATATGTGCAGGTTTTAGGCAAACACCATGCCATTTGAGCATCGCAGATTTTGGTATCCTCAGTGGGAGCAATCCCCCACGGGTACCTGGGAATGACTGTGCTCACAGACACAGGAAGCACACTGAAGTTGGCTCCACCCTGCAAGACACCAAGGACTTCCCCTGGCTCTCCTCTCCTCTCCAGAACATCTGGACGTGGTGGCATGCATGTGTCCTCCGCAGTGTGCTGGCACCATGGTACCGTGAATGTGAGGGCAGCCCACACGCCAATGGCCTCTGTAACAGCTGTGTTCCCCTAGATCCCCTTCTGAATGGAGATGGTCCAGATCGAGACATATCCATTAAAATAGGGGTGTCGAACTCAATCAGAGAAGGGGCCAAAATCTAAAATCCAGCCTAAATCGCGGGCCGAATGGTTTACTGAACAGTCATAAACTGTCATTGTGATGGAAACGCAGCGGAGTGCAGTGATGACAGCGCGGTGCGGGCCACATTGCAAGGCCTGGCGGGACGGATTTGGCCTGCGGGCCTTGTGTTTGACACATGTGCATTAAAAGAAGGAATGGCTGAAACCGGTTTGGCTCAGTGGATAGAGCATCAGCCTGCGGACTGAAAGGTCCCAGGTTCGATTCTGGTCAAGGGCATGTACCTTGGTTGTGGGCACATCCCCAGTGGGGGGTGTGCAAGAAGCAGCCGATCAATGATTCTCTCTCATCAATATTTCTAACTCTCTATCCCTCTCTCTTCCTCTCTGTAAAAAATCAATAAAAATTATTTTTTAAAAATTAAAAAATAAAAGAAGAAATGGACCCCCCTTTCATTTTGATTGGTTTCCACTTGGCTAGTCCTTGGTTTCTCTGCCCAGGTCTCTTTCTCCCCGCCCAGGGTTTCATCATGTTAGCCGCTCCTTCTTCCTCCTCTCCTACCAGTCCTGCAGCCTGCTGCCTCCTCGGGCACTTCCCCAGTTCTGTGCTGGATCAGTTTGCGGGGTGGCCCTAATAAGAGGACCACAGACTGGACGGCTTAAACACAGAAAAATACTGTCATTGCACAAGTTCAAAATCGAGGCGTGAACGGTGGGGATCCTTCGGAAGGCTGTGTGGGAAGCATCTGGTCCAGGCATTTCTTTTGGGCTTGGGAAATGGTCATCTTCTCCCTAGTCTCCTCACATGGCTTCCCCTCTGCGTGTGTCCGTGTCCAGATTCCTCCAGTCATACTGTATTAGGGTTCACCCTAATGACCTCGTTTTAACTGGATTACCTCCGTAAATACTCTGTCTCCAAATAAAAACCCATTCTGAGGGACTGGGGGTTATGACTTCACCATATAAATCTGGACAGGAGGAGGACACAATTCAACTCTCAACAGTGACAACCGTCATTGGCTCTCCCCCTTTCCCGCTCCCTCCTCCAAAACACGTTTCTCCCAAACGCGTGCCTCCCTGGGCTCAGCCTCAGGGCGGTGGCTGGCAGCTCTGGAGTGGGAAAGGCACACCATCAGGCATTGCAGCTGGGTGCCGTCCCCTCCGGCAGAGCCATCCTGGCATTGGGAGGCAGCGTCATTCCCCAGAGGCTTGGTTCCTCTTCCGGAAATAGAGGGCTAGACTAAATATTTTCTCAGGTTCCTTTCGGCCTAACACTTTAAAAAAAACACACACGTTTCTCCCTCATTATTTCAAAACTAGAGGTCCAGTGCACGAAATTCAAAAGTGGGCAGGGCTGATCAGGTTCTCCGCCTCCCCGCCACCTCCTTCCCTTGCCACGCACGTGCCACTGCTGCTGCTGGTTGCCCACCATGTTTTGTGCCACCCCCTGTTGGTCAGTGCATGTCATAGTGAGCGATCGAACTCACGGTCGAACTCCTGGGGGGACACTTTGCATATCAGCCTTTTATATGTACAGAAGTTTCACAGTTTGTCATTTAAAAAATATATAAATATTTTATTGATTTTTTTACAGAGAGGAAAGGAGAGAGATAGAGAGTTAGAAACATCAATGAGAGAGAATCATCTATCTTACACACCTCCTACTGGGAATATGTCCACAACCCAGGTACATGCCCTTGACCGGAACCGAACCAAGGACCTTTCAGTCCGCAGGCTGACACTCTATCCACTGAGCCAAACCAGTTTCGGCAGATTCACAGTCCTGTGACCATCAGATAGAGGGTATGGTGGGAAGCAGTACTGCACAGTGGTTAAGAACACAGGTGTGGGAGTTGAGCTACTTTGCAGTAAGCTCCATTTCATCCTCTGTAAAACAGGGATAATATAATAGTTTTAGTATTGTTATAATAATAGTCTTATTCCTATAATAACCTAACACAGAAGGCTGTTGAAAGGACCGACAGCCCAAGGCCTCAATGTTCTCATTAATGAAGGTTCCAGACTCCATAGGTGGGGATTCCGTTGTGGGGACTTGGAAAGAAGTAAACCCTTTTCCTTCTTTCTTTTATCCAAGCATCTCGTTAGCCAAATAAGTTTTTACCTAATATCCTTTACTGTTCCTACCCTGTTTCCCCGAAAATAAGACAGTGTCTTATATTAATTTTTGCTCCCAAAAATTCACTAGGTCTTATTTTCAGGGGATGTCTTATTTTTCCATGAAGAAGAATACGGTACACATTTATTGTTCAATGAAAATAAAGGAAATTTATTATCTGTATATGGTACAGTAGTAAGGTAGTTGTCAACACAAACCAGACAAACTGTGAATCCTACAGTATCAAGAATTTACTCATTTATTCAATGACAATCATGTCATCATCTTCTGGAACATCATCATAATCCAATTCCTGAATTTCCTGGTGAATTTCTTGTGACTCCATTTCTTTCAGAATCAGTGGGCCAAATCTCTCATGTTTAGCCTAGGGGGGCCTTATTTTTGGGGGGATGCCTTATATTTCACTCAGAAGGAACTCTGTAAGTAGGTCTTATTTTCGGAGGATGTCTTATTTTCGAGGAAACACTGTATATTACATTTACTGGCACTATATTACATTCTGTTGTCATATCTCATTAGGCTCCTCTTGGCTGTGACAGTTAGTCAGATTATCCTTGTTTTGGGGGAAGCTTGACCGCTTAGAAGGGTACCTACTGGACATTTAATTTCGTAAAATGTCCTAATGGGGTTTGACTGATGTTCTTCTCACGATAAGCCTGGGGTATGGATTTTTGGGAGGAAGACATTTTTACAATTTTCTATAGAGAGAAGAGAAGGAAAATGCATTCTTTCCTTCCATAGGGTTGATGGAATTTTTTTAATGGACGGTTTTAATAAGACATTGATGAGAACTGAATCCATTGCTTTTCACTGTAAATAAG